CACCATTACTATAATAGTAAAAATTTGGGAAAACCTTTGTTTTCACTCTCAGTACGCATATCTCTCAGTCTTTCCCCAGGACACAACAAACGATCCTTGTTTAAAATCACATAGTTAAAATTTTAAGTCAGTTTGGTCTTGACTGGGTTTTATGCCCGGGGGGAGTCATGTTAATGCCCCTGGGCGCAGAGCGCACTAAACAACATATTCAACCCCAAATCTTTGTCATCCACTAACTCAACAGGAACAAGGAAGGTTGTTAATCTTTGACATAGCTCTAGTAATTGCGCTGAGAGGAAATAAAATATTTTTCTCTCTAAAGCTCAAGGGAAAATTATCACAGTGGTATATCAATCACAATGTTTTTTTAAAAACCCACATGAAGATATCTTTCCCTATCAACAAGCCCACTGACCTGGGGGGAAATACACCACGGATATCCCCACGAAAATAACCAGTAAATGCTTGTTTAAAATTAAATTTGTGCAGAGGCACTTTTAAACACCCCCCCCATAGGCTTTTCTAAAAATACATCTATCTTGCAAAGTACGTCATTATGGGTCATCTTCCTTAAAAAAACGGAAAATAACGCCAGGGGCCTTTGAAAGAAATATCTCAGTAATGTATTCGCAAATCCTACTTTATCCTCGAAAAGAAGGACTCTCGCTAAAACAATTTTTTTCGCAGATACACTTTCGACGCTAGCATCTTCCCTGATAACTTTACTAAAACAGAAAGGATCAGAGGCTTTGCTAGGTTTTGGGTGCCTTTGTTGGGGGAAGAGGAAACTTGAGTGGGGGCGCCAGCGCACCTTTTTTCTCGTATCTTTTTTCAAACTTAAGAAAATACCTCATATTCCTTTCCTGTTACAATGGGTACATTTAACTTTCTTTTTCTCGATATAAATTTCTGGAAAAAGGTACGAGAATTACAGTAGCAGGTACTCGGGCCGGCAATGACACTAAATTAGGTTGCCAACTTCTGGGACAATCTTTATTACCTTGTTTCTTTTGTTTTTAGTACGTAAAGTTTGTGAAAATCTCATAATTGTCTGCTAATGCTGCAGTTTCCAGATACCGAGGTAGTATGATCGATCAATATTCTTTAAGTCCCCCCAACTACAGTTGTTAAACCCCTTCGTGTTAACAACTGAACAAGGGGTCATGTTGTTTCATTTAAAAAGCCTACACCACCTCTGAAAGCAAAATTTTTTTCAAGAGAAACCCTACACAAGTTTGATCTTGTCGTGTTGGTAGAAATGGGCCGAAACCCGGGGCTTTTTATGTCTCCCGAAAGGTTGCAGGCAAATAATGTCATAGAAATGGTAAGGCGCAGAAAAAAAACCGGGTTTGAACCTTTCCCTTTCCCCTCAAAGCGTACAGCAATGTTGCCCAGGCTTTTGTGGGCCCTTCATAGACGTGCCTGTTCTCAAACACATAAAATATTTTCTAATCACTTCAAAAAACTTAGGAACCATGGATGCAGCTTTCTGCACATTAAAATGTTTCCCGTGATCATCATCTGTTTTTCTTAAAAGACAACATTTTCTCTTTGGAAATCATCTTCGTTTTAATCTCCTCTGTGCCTCTATTTGGCATCTGCAAAATAATGAGGCGTTCCAACCCTCAACTGTTCCTGAAAAGATAGGACCAGGGGGAATGGAGGAGTTGGGAAATTAACATGGTCTGGACGGTCCCTTTGGTCGGACACTTGGCCAGCCCTCTCTAGATGCAGATCTGGTCAGGATAAAAATACAGGTGTAGTAACACTGACTAGTATTAGGGGTGAGTCAACTACCAGCTACCTCTGTAAAATAGGTCTGAGGCGGGAAGTGTAGCGAAACTAGCTACACTAGGCTCAGACACAGCTCCACCTGCCTATTGCTCTTTCTTTTTTCATCAAATAAGTCATACTTCCTAATTGTACACTAGCTTTCTGAATCTAAATAATCAGACATCTCGTTGACAGGAAACAAAATACTTTAAATTTAAACCTGCAGTTTCGCGGTGTAATTCCTGTTTTACGTCACACCGAGATATTTGGCTACTTGCCAACACGTTGAAATTTTAATGTACTTAACCGGACAAAGTCAGAGATCAAATTAATCGTTTTACTTGGCATACATCACGAAAATAATTTTACTACAGAAGTGATTATGGGAAACTATAAACCTAATAGGAATTTTAGTGTTGGGGTTTTCCCTTTAAACTAAAACCATAAACCGAATTTTTCCCTCTCCTTTGGAAAAAGAGACCATCAGGTACATACATCCACCCGGTATGTTGTACAAGACTAAACTCAAAAATCGTCAAATTTGGGAAAATACTCAAAGTGTTTTACCTAGAGTTAAAGTATGTCAAACTGGACAATTTCTCCAACACCTTGGGGCAAGAGATCCCCCACAGTTTCTCCCAAAACCTTTGGTCAAGAGCTCCCCGGACGGCCCCCATTTGTTACAAAAAACCATTCTAAAGCTAGAGACTCCAGTGAATACTAAAAGGATGCCCTTCTAGCATCCAGCCTGTTCTAGGTTTTCGTAACAATAGTAGTACCTTTTCCAATTTTTCCTTGAAAACAGTAGGTTTAATAGCTTTTTAGGATTACAACTGTAGGCTACTAACTAGGAAAATTAAAAAATTTTAAAAAATTTATTAAGTCTATAATTTCTAGCCTAGGTATATTATCAAATTAAATTTAATTACAGCAATCAAAATAAAAAAAATCTCTCGATTTTAATATTATTTGCTGAAAGCACATATCCCTTTTAAAAACTTAAGTACCGTCAGGTAAAATTAAAATTTAATAAAAATTACAAAAATTCAAGTGGTGTAGCTGTAAGTGCTCTTAAGTAGTTAGCTAGTCTCAAGACTCGAATAAGACTTAAACAAGGACACAAAGCCTCAAAAAAACAACTTTTTGACCGACTGCAACCCAAACAGTCTGCTTTTAACAACAAAGAATGCTAAGCCCAATAGCAATGCAATATCAAGCGACTCGGACCGAATCAGGAAAAAGGAAAATATAAAAACCTAAGTGGGACCATCTCAGATCCCCACAAAAGTTACAAAACTTCCATAAAAACTGAAACTATTTTAGCATAGGTAAAACTGTGCTGTACAAACACGGGAAACCAGACAAAAAATTTGGTCAGAAGCTACAGCTAAGGACCTGAAATGTTCAAGTGTCAATGTGACACACAACCTCAGAAAAAACCGTCGAAAATCACAAAGTCTATACAAAGTTCTTGAACAAAGTTCTACAAACTAACAAGAATAATAGACAGACAATCGTCCAACCAGCAAGCGAGTCTCCAGCAGACTGAAAACTTTACGGAGGTAGGACACCCCCCCCTCGACACGTGATAGCTACGTGGACAGCGCAGCTCAAAGCCGGCAGTAAAAACGAGCGCAAGCGATAATTACAGTAGTTTGACAATCAAACTAACTGACCATTTTATAAACACCAACAACAAAGCTAATCAAATAAAATATAAGGCAATACATTTTTCGATTTAGCTATTTTCGCAAATTAACAATTAAAAAAAAAATGAAAGGAATATACATTATATATACATAATAATCATTGTAACCCATTCAGGGGTTGCAACATCCACTAACGTTTGCAATTTTTCTTTAGAATCTCCCATAAGCACAGTATTATCAGCAAAAAGTAACTGTGTCAATTCCCATTTTGAATTTGATTCCCCATAATTTAATCCCACCCCTCTCCCGAACACCCTAGCATTTACTTCTTTTACAACCCCATCTATAAATATATTAAACAACCATGGTGACATTACACATCCCTGTCTAAGACCTACTTTTACCGGGAAGTAGTCTCCCTCTCTTCTACACACCCTAACCTGAGCCTCACTATCCTCATAAAAGCTCTTTACAGCATTTAGTAACTTACCACCTATTCCATATACTTGCAACATCTGCCACATTGCTCCTCTATCCACTCTATCATATGCCTTTTCTAAATCCATAAATGCAATAAAAACTTCCCTACCTTTATCTAAATACTGTTCACATATATGCTTCAATGTAAACACTTGATCTACACATCCCCTACCCACTCTGAAACCTCCTTGCTCATCCGCAATCCTACATTCTGTCTTTCCTCTAATTCTTTCAATTATAACCCTACCGTACACTTTTCCTGGTATACTCAGTAAACTTATTCCTCTATAATTTTTACAGTCTCTTTTGTCCCCTTTCCCTTTATATAAAGGGACTATACATGCTCTCCGCTATTATTATTATTATTATTATTATTATTATTATTATTATTATTACAGTATTATTATTATTATTATTATTATTATTATTATTAGTATTACTGTTATTATTATTTATTATTATTGCTTATTATTATTATCATCAACATATCTTGTTCACTGAATTTAATCATTTCTTTATTAAGCTGCCACGAGAGACCGAGAATGTAAACACCGATGAACACACCAGCTAACCCCTTTACTGTGAACTTCTTTTTGTACTTCTTCCATTTTCCTCTCTTTCCTCTTGGAGACTTTAAAATCTAGTGTACTGAGTGGCTGTAAGATGGAGATTGAGATGCTTAATGCTGAGACACTGTGCTGCCCGTTTCTGTGACCCAAGTTTTCATATGGTATTCAATACTGACTCGTCAGAGAGCCCATCGTAACTTCGAGTTGTCGGTAAACGAGTATGTCGGTAAGTGAGGAGAGGCTGTAGTAGTGTGGTTATTGTGTTGAATACAAAGAGTGTACATATATACATTATGTTCGTCTCACAGGCCACAAACGTTAGTGGAAAAAAAAATTAGTAAAGAAAAGAAAAAAAAAGGAACAAAACAGTAAAATAAAAAGTGCGACTTTACAGAAGTCGGGGATGTCGCCGCCATTCGGTCACTGATCGGAAAATTTTTTTGTTCTATTACCTGTAGAAAAATATTATCTTTAATTTTGTAAGATTTTTTTTTTTTTTTCAAAATTTTTGGACCCTGGCTGTCACACTGAGATTTGGCCTCTAGACCCTGAAAAGGTTAATATTAATACAAGTTTTCTTTCATAACAGGTCCTGGCTCAAGCTGTAGAACTGCTTTTTGATCGCATTGACACCATGAATGTATGCTGTTTTGACAGGTTAGATTTTTAAACCTACCTTTTAGATAAGCAGTGTGCAAACATTTAGAAAATTTGAGACATCTCTCAAATTTGGCTCACAATGTTTTAGTTTTAATAGAAATTGACAAAGCCTAATACAGTACAGTTACTATGTATGGTGTACAAGTTGACTAAAAATTATAAATTTGAGAGTAGGAATTTTCACCCTTGTGTAGTTTTCTTTTAACTAAGGTTTTACCTGTATTAGGTTCTGTTACAGTTTCCTCATAAGCCATTACAGTTAGAATTTGCTGGGAGAACGGGGTGAGCAAGCTTTAGCTGTTGATTCTGTCTCTTAACTTTCAACTGACTTGATGTGAATTAACTCTCTCATGTAGATTTTTTTAACCTTTGTATCATGTACACTTCCTACAAGGGTCAGTCAACTGTTAAAATGTGAGACCAAGAACTAAAGCTCATTCCCAGCAAGTCCTGTGATTAATAACTAAACAAATAAATAAAAGAAATTGAATAAAATTTCATGTGCTACCTTTGGGGGAACTGGTCATTATCTTGTGGTGAACCTAACTATCCCATTTATGCAAAATCATGGTTATTTTAAAAGTTACTGGTTCCTTACAATGCAGCAGATATTATGGCTATTTCTGTATACCTGCTTATAGTAAATATTTAAATGCTTTCTTTCCCTAGGTTTGTAAATTGGTTTTCGTACCACTTGAGTAACTTTCAGTTTAAATGGTCATGGGATGAATGGCTTGAGGCATCACAACTAGACCCAATGCACCCAAGAGCCAAGTTCATAATTGAAGTGCTTCAGAGAGCCATGAGGTAAATCATCTATGTTGAAACTATCCATAGTATCATAGATTGTATAGTTCTTGAATCTTAATTTTAAATTATTTTTTTGTCAGGATATTTTAGTGAGGATAGAGCAAAATGGGATGACTTGGAGAGAGTATAAATCTGGAAGTGGAGGGAAGGAGGGGTAGGGGTTGTCCTAGGAAAGGATGGAGGGAGGGGGTAAAAGAGGTTTTGTGTGCAAGGGGCTTGGACATGCAGCAGGCGTATGTGAGTGTGAGAGATGGAAAGGGAGATGAATGGTTTTTGGGACCTGATGAGCTGTTGGTATGTGAACAGGGTAATATTTTGTGAAGGGATTCATGGAAACTTGTTAGTCAGACTTGTGTCCTGGAGGTGGGAAGTACAATTCCTGCACTTCAACCCCTTGACTGTCACAACCCCCAATCCTGAGGTGTCTCCTGGTGTTGCAAAATTTAAAAAAAAAATTATTTTTTCTTTTGAAATGATAGAGAATCTTTTCCCGATTGTAATGACACCAAAAAAACGAAATTTGATGGAAAACTGACGGAGTTACGCTCTTGCGAAGTTAGCGACCTCGGCGATATTTACAAATTGGCGATTTCGCCCACTTTGAGCCCTATTTTTGGCTAATTCCATTGTTCGAGTCGACCAAACTCGTAGCTATTTCTTTAGAACTCCGTTTTTTCTATCGATTGAGTACAAGAAGCTGCCCATTTACCAATTTCAACTACCCAATAACATGGTCAGAAATTTGCAATTTGGCCAATTTCACGAAAATTAAAAAATATAATTTCAAAATAGGGTCCAGAATGAACAGTGCAGACATTCCTGGCTCTAAAATAACATTTTCTTTGTTCATCAGTCATGTCTCCAGGCCCCTCTGATATTACTCTTGCTTTCTATTTTGAATTTTTATTCAAACAAAAAATAGAAGATTTACTATTATGCAGACTACTGCAACACTAATAATTGTGTAAATAACATCAACCCATTCATGACTGCATATTAGAATGGCTAGTTGGACATTTATTGGACAATGACATCATTTGTTTACTTTTGAACATCAGCAAAAATCAAACATTTCCTCTACTTTGAGCTCTATTTCGAGGTTCTATAATATGTTTTCTATAATATGTTTTCCATTCTATCAAATGAGACCAAGAAAATGAGAATACAACCATAAATACTATATGAAAATAGATCACAAAGTCGGCATTTTAATTAAAAAAACGGTCGGAGTTTTTTTTTTCTCGTTATGCACTGGGTGCTCCAGGATTTTTTTTATATGGTGCACACTGACCACACAGACCCATTCTCTCACATGTGGGCCTACCAGCTTTCTAGTCCTTGATTTGAAGCCGCTAGGATTTATGAGTATTTTTACGTCAAACACGGTACCTCGTGAGACGTATATATACGGCCGCGACAGTCAAAGGGTTAAAGGAGGGGTTTGGGGTATTTGCTGTTTGGAGTGACATCTGAACTGTCTTATCTACATTCCTCTGCAAAGACAGTGATAGCATGAATGATGGTGAAAGTTTCTTTTTCTTTTTGATCACTCTGCCTCAGTGGGAGATGGCCACTGTTTTTTTTTTTACATGTAATTCCATGGGGAAATGGAGAAGAATCTTTCCTCTGTAAGCCATGTGCATCATAAGAGGTGACTAAAATGCCAGGAGCAAGAGGCTAGTAACCCCTTATGTATAAATTATTAAATGTAAAAAGAACTTATAAAAGCATTTCTTCTTTTTTGGGTCACCCTGCCTTGGTGGGAGATGGCAGGTATGTTAAAAAAAAATTAACCTGTAATCTTCTAAGTGGTTCATACCTTAGTTTTTATACACTAGATTGATGATAATTATTTTATTTCCTTATTAATTCAGCTGTACAATGCACTAGTTTGTGAAATCTTTTGTTGGATGTTTAACCCCTTAACTGTCCAAACGTAGATCAACATTTTATTTTTCCTGCCTCCAAATTTAGCACAATTGGCCTGAGATGCCTAGTCAGCATAGAATTGGTCTTAACACTTAGTGTGTGGTGTATTAAAAAAATCTGGGACCACTTAGTACTTTGTGGGAGCACCAGTTCAATTGAGCACCAGCTAGAGCAAACAGCACGGCAAACATCTGGGATTCACTGATGTCATGTTGTATTAACAAAGTGATGTTGATCCTGAGTTTAGTGACTTTGAGGTGGATGTGGCCACAAGTGGTTGAGGAAATATAAAAAAAATTGATAATAACCCATGTGCAACATTTGTGCAACATCCTTTCAATTTTGATACCACTGGTAGTGTCATCCGGCCAGAACATCTTATAACCTATGCCCTAAGTAAAGAGAAAATCCTGGAACGTGTAATATGTGTTTGGCAGGCTGGCTGGCCTGCTGGCTGGCTGATTGGTTGTCTCTATCCCCAGCTGTCTCTGTCTCTCTCTCTCTCTGTCTATATCTCTCTGTACATCTCTCTTTATCTCTGTCTCTATCTCACAGATACACACAAATACAATTATACATAGTGTAAATTAACTAGGATAACCCAAAAATTCCAGACAAAGTGCTATAGTGTGCTTGTAGATATAATGCATAATAAGCATGACTGGCAAGTGTTCAGGAATCAGACTTGACTACTCTGCATCGTGTGTAATGCCTGTTAGCTCATGAGTCGCTCTCTCTGAGACTGAGGCAAGCAGAGAGACAGAAAGATAGATAAACAGAGACAGAGATAAACAGAGAGCTGGAGAGAGAGAGACAGATGGACAGATAGACATGTTTGTGTATCAGTGAAAACAAATAAATCCAAGACAGTGCATGATCATCAAATATCACTCCAGTGCTGCACTGTCAGCAGTGGAGTGACACTCCTCTTACACCATGCTTCACGGAAACATTATTATTATTATTTTTTTTTTTTTCAACAAGTCGGCCGTCTCCCACCGAGGCAGGGTGACCCAAAAAAGAAAGAAAATCCCCAAAAAGAAAATACCTTCATCATCATTCAACACTTTCACCACACTCACACATAATCACTGTTTTTGCAGAGATGCTCAGAATACAACAGTTTAGAAGCATGTACGTATAAAGATACACAACATATCCCTCCAAACTGCCAATATCCAATAATAATAATAATAATATTAATATTATATACTCTTACATGTCCAGAACATTGCTGGGACCTATAAATACTATGTATATATTGGCAGTTTGGAGGGATATGTTGTGTATCTCTATACGTATATGCTTCTAAACTGTTGTATTCTGAGCACCTCTGCAAAAGCAGTGATAATGTATGTGTGTGGTGAAAGTGTTGAGTGATGATGAAAGTATTTTCTTTTTGGGGATTTTCTTTCTTTTTTTTGGGTCACCCTGCCTCGGTGGGAGACGACCGACTTGTTGAAAAAAAAAAAAAAATATATTTCTAGACAATAGTTTGTGACTAGGGTAGGTGAAAATGTTCACCTTTCCTTTATGTTTGTGACTATTCGAGTACTATTTCAGTACATACCTAATATTAGTGTCATAACAAAGACTGGTTATGAAATCACAAGAACTGCTTCAAATTGTAATTATCAGAGATAAAAATTATAAATTAAAAGGAGGAGGAAAAAATGTATATCAGCAACACTTCTGCAAGCGGCAGAACTTCATGTTGCTGTCAGATGAGCGACAAGTGCTGACTTTGTGGCCTTGCATCTCTGTAAATACTGACTCTAATTTTTTTTTTTTTTAGATTATTACATGTAAAGTAATGTTATGTCAAGGGCTATGTCCATAGGCCTGTTTTGGCTCCTTTCTGTAACAAGATGTCGAATCAAGCTCTGGTCTAGTTTTCCTTAGACAAATGTCACTTTAATATGGGGATTATCATTAGGAGACTGATCCAACTAAATAAAATGTGATCTTTATTACAAAAGAATTCATGTAAAACTTAGTACATGATACAAAGTTCTCTCTCTTGCGGTGTAATACATAGATATACATGTATTTAATACAGAAAACAGTCGACACACGACTTATTCATAAGTGTTTCTGTACAATGCTTATACTCGATGACATGAGTCTTATGCAATACATTTACATGAAAGCTCTGAAATGTATCGGATGAAACTGTCGTCTCCTTGAAGACAGATTCGTATTAGATACTAGTCAAGACTATATATGCACTAACTTAACCCTTTGACTGTTTCGGTCGTATATATACATCTTACGAGCCACTGTGTTTGAAGTATATATACTCATAAATTCTAGTGACTCAAATCAAGCAGGAGAAAGCTGGTAGGCCCACATGTGAGAGAATGGGTCTGTGTGGTCAGTGTGCACCATATAAAAAAAATCCTGCAGCATGCAGTGCACAATTAGAAAAAAACTGACCTTTTTTTTTTTTTTTTTTTAACCCTTTCAGGGTCCGTCCCGTAGATCTACGGCTTTACGTTCAGGGTCCAAACCGTAGATCTACGTCATGAGCTCAGCTCACTCTGATAAACTGTGAGTGGTACATTTGGGCCTAGATCTGAGAGAATACATCTATGTGGTATGTGTGCACCACCTAAAACAGATCCTGCAGCACACTGTGTATAATGAGAGAAAAAAACTGAAATCATGATTTTTCAATTAAAACAGCGACTTTGCAGTGTTTTTTCGTATGTTTTTTATAGTTGTATTTGCAATTTCTTGGTCTCATTTGATAGAATGGAAGACATATTACAGAAACAGAGATGATTTTGATTGGTTTTAGCACTGGAAATGGCTTGAAACTGAGCTCAAAGTAGCAGAAATGTTAAATTTTTGCCGATATTCAAGAGTAAACAAACCACCTCACACGTCTAATACACGCCAGCTGGTGGGTCTGATATACATTCACAAATGTGGTGATGATATTTATACAATTATTACAATATTGCATAACAGTAAATCTTCTATTTTTTGGTGTGAATAAAAATTCATTATGTGAATAAAAAATCAAAACGGAATTTATTTGTAAAGCCTCAAAATGTAACTGATGA